CTCTGTTGTAGATCTCTGAACCTGTTGTTTTGAATTAAAAGGTGGAAATATAGTTACAAAAAAATCGGTTTTCAAATGTAAAGTATTGGAATAATTGTTGTTTTACTCTACTGTACATTTGTGAATACTACCAAAATTTGTTCAGTATTCAGCAACTCATAACAAAACACATCTAAATGACCAAATGTCTCCTGCAAAAGAAATCTCTAATGTATACTAAAATTGATTGCTTATGTAACCTCGGTAATTCTGACCGATCAGCATAAATCAGTTCTGCGTTGTGTGAATAAGGGCCAGGAGACAGGATGAGATGAAACGTCGTTTATCTGTGCGAAACAGAATATGGACTGATCAGGAATCGGGTTCATCACAGCGGGTTCATCACCTTACGAGGGACAGCATTTCATGTTAGCAACAAGCTAACATAGCATTTTACTGGAGCGTTAAACTCAGTGAACCTGCCTCGCGCCCATCTCTCATGAACTGGCAACGAGATGTTTGTGTTCACTATATGTAACCCTGCCAACCACCAGGAGGGGGTGCTGTTTCACCCTTTACACATGAACCCAAACTGCGAAGTAATGACAAGTGGAATTCTATACAATATTAACTATGTTATACTTATTGTACTTTTTTGAAAATGCCTGAATGGTGACCGGTCGGCCATTTTGGATGCGGTGGCGAATTGTCCCAATTTTACTGCCTATAACCGCCAACCCTGATGTGCATTTTGACTTAGTCCACACTTCATAGAGGGCACAGGGTGAGTTTTGGGACTGGACTCAGTCTGTGCCACCAGAACCTGAAGCTGGTCTGGTGGTTCTGCAGAACCAGCTGACACTTTGGACTCTGATTGGTTTAAATGGTTAATGTTGAGGAATCAGATTCAGGCCGGTTCTAACTTGTTCTTCATAACCGGCCTTTAAACTGCCAACCAATCAGGAGCAACTTTAATAAATCTGAGATTAATCTAACTGATGACAAGGAAATAAAAAAAAATCATTGCCAATATTGCAGATAAAGGTAAAAACAAATTTCCATTTTTATTTGAAAAGTGAAAGATATATTTATCTGATGAATCAGATCTCTGATCAGTTTTTCTTAGAAATTAACCAATCTGTTCTCTTTTGTTTTCTTCAGATTCAGTAGAGATAGACTCTCTCGTCTCTCTCTGCATCGCCTTTTCTCCTCGGTCAAACTGAGCAAGACTCGAACCGCCAGCCTTGACCGACTGGTTCCCCCGGTTCCTGACTGTCTTCCCAGCGACGGCAGGAACTCCTGCAGCCTGTGGAAGAAATCTCCTTCTGCTCAGTCTCTCTGTGTGGGAAGATTTTCTGTTTTAGATCTTGATTTTTGAATACTTGCCATTTCCTTTTGCTGAGTGGGTGTCCTGTCTATCCTACAGGGGGCGCTGGGACTGCAAATGAAGAAGTCGTCATCAGTGCAGAGTTTTGGTTCTGAGGAGATCAAGAGCTGCAGCGTAGATCACAGACCAGCTGATGAGCAGTAAAACAGCTGCTTGTATCAGCTGACCACCGTCCCACCCAATCAGACCTCAGTTTCCTCCCTGTCTGTCCATCAAGCTTCTACATCCATGTCTGAGGTCAGAGGTCATTGGTCGGTCCCGCTCAGGGAGATCAGTTGGTCGGGTTCTTCAGGTCTGTTCTGATGGACCGGTTCTGTTGGAAATTAGTCGACCATCAGATCAGAGTTTTGGAAAAAGGCGAGCCGACTCTGATAATGAGCCACAGGGCAGAGCGAGCTTCCAAACTGGAAACCACTGAAACCAGTTTAGTTTGCAGCGCTGAATGTAACTAATAGAATTAATGGTACCTGATTTTTTTTTTGGACAGTTTTGAGTCAGCTCACCTTTCTGAGTTATCAAAGTCCTAACTTCTTCCAAACCTTCGACATGCGTCTTGGATGCAGCAGCTCCACCAGCTGTTGCTAACGGGGCGGCGGCAGGAGTTTTTTTGTTTTTTATGACCTGAACTTTATTGATTTTCCAATAAAAAAATATACCCTAATTCCACATTTAGCATATTACAATTTAGCATAAGCTAAACAATGTTTAGTCCTTGTAGGTTCTTCAGGCCAATACAGTTAACAGAAATTACTTGAACAAAAAAAAAATTAAAATAAAATAAATAATAAAAGAAAATTACAGTGAAAATAGAGAAAAAAAGACAAGACGCATAAACATCAACTGAACATTGACATAAGCAATATAACATAAAATAACACTGCCCTATAACCCCGATACATTCAGATAATTACAGCATTACCGTAAATTCCTCTAGTCTAATTATGTCCGAGCTGGAAATGCCATTTAACCCATGCATGACAAGTAGCTGGACCACTTCCTGTTGTACTCCTGAACCCCATTTAACAGTCTATAAGATAATCTCTCTAAGGCAGCAAGCTGCCCCAGTGACTTATACCAATGAGTGAGAGAAGGGACAGATGGACCCCTCCACTCCCTCCCCAGCATTACAGCTGTCAGTACCCACTGCGAGAGAGAGGAAGTCAGGTGAGCCAATCATTTTTTCTATGACTTTGTGAACTGATGACCAATAATCTTGGATTTCTGGACAGTCCCATAGCATATGTACCAGTGTGCCATTATCCTTTTGACACTTCCAACAACCCGAGGTTTCTGACAAGCCAACCCTGTATAGTCTGTATGGAGTCCAATAAACTCTATGTAGAATCTTAAATTGCACCAGTCTTGTTTTTAGTTCCCTCGAACTTTTCTTCCCATTCCTAAGAATTGAAAGCCATTCCTCTTCTGTGAAACTAAGATTTAGATCTGTTTCCCAAGAACTCTTAAGAGACATAATATTAGGATCCAAGGCTGTCGACAACTGAAGCTTCATGCCCATCACCAAACACCTTCTTTATATCTGCCAGTGTGTTGCAGCTTACAGGAATAATAGTGGGGGAACCAAAAGTTTTAACCAGCAAATGTCTTAATTGTAAATATCTCCAGAAATCTTGTCTGTGTAACTTAAATTCCCCAACCAATGTTTCAAAGGACTTCAATGAGCCATTCTCATATAAATCTCCTATCTCACATATTCCTTTTTGAAACCAGGACTTCCAAAAAAAGGGGGTTTTGCCTATACAGAGTTTGGGGTTATGCCAAATACTAGCAGATTTATTGAGATGTGGGTCAAATTTAAAAATCTGAGATATTTTTTTCCATAGTCCCTTCAGATGGGAGAGAACAGGATGTGACTGATTCTGAGGGGAGAGATTAATTGATAGGCAGCTAGTCAATGCAAATGGTAGACACACCACACTCTCAAGAGAGAACCAGGGTGGGGCTCTCTCAGGGGGCAGAAACCAATGTGCCAAATGCCTGAAAGGAAAAGCATAGTGGTAATTAAGTAAATTAGGCATACCTAAACCCCCTCTGTCTACAGGTCTTTGTAGTTTTCGCAAATTCAGCCTGGGTTTTTTCTTATTCCATATGAACAAGTTACAGATCTTATCAAACTGTTTAAAATATATTATAGGGACATGTACTGGTAGAGCCTGTAGCAGGTAGTTAAATTTGGGAGCACAGATCATTTTAATAGTATTTACCCTCCCCCACATGGAAAGATATAGTACACTCCAACGCTCTACATCCACCCTCATTTTTCTAGTAATGGTTCAAAATTTATCTTAATCAAATCAGTCTGTTGGGGTGGAAAAGTTATTCCAAGGTACTTAATACCCTTCTAGGCCAAGAAAACATGCTAGATGGAAATGTATTTTTAGGGCAAAATGAAGAAAGTGTGAGGGCTTCCGACTTTGTCCAATTGACCTTATAACCAGAAATATTTGAGAATGTTAATTAAGGAGAGCAAAAGGGGGAGGGAATTCACTGGGTCTGACATAAAAAGAAGAATATCATCAGCATACAACATCAGTTTATGACAACTATGTCCTACAGTAATACCAGGAAAATTAACCTCTTTCTGAATAGCAGCCGCTAATGGTTCTAAGGCTAATGCAAAGAGTAGAGGAGACAGGGGGTCCCCTGTCTGGTCCCTCTTTTAAGTTCAAATGGTTGGCCAATTACCCCATTTGTTAGGACAGATGCCGTTGGCCGAGCATATATAAGCCGAATCCAGTCTATAAAATTTTTACTAATGCCAAAGCTTTCCAAAGTTAGAAACAGATATTGCCGCTCAACTCTGTCGAATGCCTTTTCTCCATCCAACGACAAAGCAACCACAGGTGTCAGGCTTTTCCGAACTGCCCACATAATGTCTATAAGTCTTCTAATATTGTCATCTGAGGTGTGAGAATATATAAATCCAACTTGATCCGAATGAATTAATGAGGTTAGTACTCGGTCCAAACGACTAGCTAGGATTTTTGATAATATTTTACTATCATATGATGTTAAGCTAATAGGTCGATAATTTTTGCATTCTGAAGGTTCCTTGTCTTTTTTCAGGATAAGAGTGATAACCGCTTATGAAAGTGTAGGAGGCAACCTTTGTCTGTTAAATGATTCATTATAAGTATTCAAAAGCAGAGGGGATAGCTCTTAAGGAAACGTTTTATAAAACTCAGCTGTGAAGCCGTCTAACCCGGGAGCCTTACTTGAGGGTAGATGTTTAATCACCTCGACTATTTCTTCAATAGTAATGGGGCAGTCTAGATCCTAAAGTTGATGTGATGGTACTCAGATTTAATTCTTTCAGATTTAAATCTGAAAGAAATTCCTTGATATTTTCTTGTGAGGCTGTTGATTCTGAGCTATAGAGATTCTTGTAGTAATCACTAAATACTGCATTTATTTCATGTCGATCCGAAACAAGCTCACCAGTTCTATTCCTAATAGCTGAGATGGAACTCATCGCCTCTCTTTGCTTAATGTATCTAGCCAATAGTCTACCTGCCTTATCTCCCTCCTCAAAGTAGTTTTGCTGAAATAGGCTAAATTCAGCTTTTTCTGACATAATAGTATTATATTCTTACTTTAGCTTTGTAAGTTTGTTCAAGGTTACCAAAGAATAATCCCTTTTAAAACTAGACTCTGTAATCTCAATTTGTCTTTCTAAATTAATTAGCTTAATAGTGTTTGGCTTCTTTTTAGATGAAGCCTGCTGGATGATGTAACCTCTTAAATATGCCTTTAGCGCCTCCCAAGCCACTCCAGCAGAGGGAGCTGAGGCAATATTCCTATCGATGTACAACTTGATTTGTGATCTAAGAGTCTTTGAAAGCCTCATCTAGTAAGAGACTAGAATTTAGCCTCCATCTAGGACTTCTCACAGTTGTATTAATCGCAAACATAAAAAGGTAAATAGGGCTATGATCTGACAATATCATACTCCCAATGCTCGTGGAGGCCACAGCTGTCATTATTGGCTTAGATACCAGAAAAATATCAATTATTGAAAGAGATTGATGTGGGGGAGAGTAAAAAGTATAATCCCTACCGGAAGGATTTTGCAACCGCCAAACATCCGCAAGGCAACAAGCTTTGCACATACCTTTAAGCGCAATGTGTGTTTTTGGAATGGGTGTTATTGTAGTGCTTTGGTCTAAAGTTGTGTCCATCACCTAATTAAAGTGTCCTGCTACAATAATGGGGTAATTTCCTAGATCGATTAGTTTCTTTTCCAGCTGTCCGAAAAAGGAAGGGTCATCAACATTTGGTGCATACACATTTGCCAAAATGTTATAACCTTGGATCTCGCATAGCATTAGAAGCATCCTTCCCTCCTTATCCATGCTCTGCTTCAGACATTTAAATTGCAAACGTCTATCAATAAGAATGGCTACACCCCTATTACTGCTCCCACAACCTGCACCCACAAATCCTACCCTGCCTGCACCCAGTCTGTATGATTCCAGCAAAGACAGATGTGTTTCCTGGATAAAAACAATTTGGCAATTTTTAGCTCTAATAAAGGACAATATCTTTTTTCTCTTTATGACATTATTAAGACCTTTGACATTCCAGCTCATGAGACTCAAGTTATTACTACTGAATGAGATATTTAAAATGCATATGGAGTAGGCAATACTGTAACCTTATAGGTATCGGCGGGCTGGACAAAACAAACAGAAAAAAAACAATATAAAAAAAAAGAACAAGGCAACAACATTCACAAATTCCAACAACGTAGAACGACCCCCCATCCATCCACACACACACACACCCAAACAACAGTCCAAATATATCTAACCAGCTATGTTTATACAACCAACCCTTACTCTGGTCCGTCATCACACTTAACCTAGACCACCCCAAAACTCCCCCCACCTCCCAACCCGTCCAAGAAGTGCGGGTGACATACCCCCCCACACCCCCAAAAAAAGAGTAAGGTGCAAAAACAGGTGTAAATTTGAATGAAATGCACAAAACTTAGAATTATAGTGATCCTTTCCAGCCTTAAAACCCAGCAGACAGATACAAATTTTTTTATTTATTTTTTTTATGTAGCCTCACCCATCAGTGACGTTCAAATGAGTCCGAACAGAAGTAAATAAGAAGATCAGTTCCTGCATTAGCGTATCCATAAAGATCCAAAGAATAATTTCTGCCCTCGATGCCTCACCCAGTGGGGCTTCCACGATCCATATCGCCGCCCGGTCATTCTGTAGATCGGATCGGATGTAAGCCAGTGCCTTCTTATGGTCCTCAAAGCCCCCGTGAAGTTTTCGCAGTAAGCACGGCTGGGTAGTTTAGGAAGAAGCGGACGCGTTTCTCATGGAGTAGTTTCTTACATTCATCAAACTTTCTGCGTTTATCGCTGAGAAGCAGAATAGTCCGGAAACACCATAATCTCTCCAGATCAGGTCTCCCATCTTGTGAGCGGCTTTGGCGATGCGTTCTCGGTCTTAAAATCTCTCGAATCACGCAATGATGGGTCTCGGACGGGGGGCTGGTTACCTAAACCAGGAGACAATGGACCCAGCCTATGTCCCCTCTCAATTTCAAGTCCCTTGGGAAAGTTAATGTTCAGAAGCGTCGGTAGAGTTGCTTTCAGAAATGCCACCAAGTCGCTTCCTTCGCAGGATTCAGTAAAACCCAGAAAGTGCAAATTATTCCTGCGCCCTCTGTTTTCCATGTCATTGAGCTTTTGCCTCAGTATGCCCGGTTAGCCTGATCCTGAGCTAGGTTAGCAGGGCTAGCAGTAGCAACCTCGCCACATTTGGTTCCTCCTCCAGCTGCGCTGGGTTTGACTGAGTTTCTGCTCGACTTAGACATCTTACCACTAGTTTAGAGATAACACTTAATACCTGACGCTGATTCATTGGCTCCCTGCCCGATTTACATGTAAAATGCATTATGAGGGACGCTCCTAGGCAGCCATCATGTCGAGCGCGTCACGTGACTCCGGCGGCAGGAGTTTGTCATGTAGTCGTGGATCACCAGATCGATTCCCGGCCCTCGTTGTATGTGTCCTTGGGCAAGACACTCCAACCACCTGGCCTGTTGCCATGAAATGGCAGCTTTGCTTGTCAGTTGCCTTTGCAATATAAAGGGTATTATAAGTAAAATTGATTTTTTATTAATTGCTGCTGGATAGTCTGAAGGAGCAGAGTGGGGGAAGATCTGAGCCTTGAGGTGGGGCTAGGTTCACCCAGGCATTTTGCATCTAAATAGTTGCCATGGAGATTTTAGGGTTTCTCAGACATGGAAGATTCAAAGCAACACTCCAGGTTTGTTTTTTATGAGGGAGAAACATGAAAACATGATGGGAAGATCAAAAATTTAATTTTACATGATACTGGCCCTTTAAAATCCACATTAGGGTTAAATGGGTCCTTAGTCAGATAAAATCTGAGCGGTGAAACCCTCATCAACTGCCTGAAGTTTCAGGTGTGTACACAGAGGTAATGGCGGATGGCAGCAGTAAGCAGCGGTACGCCAGCCTCCGTCTGTCGGAGACAAGATCCTGGAGGTGAACCCGACCAGCACCGTGTGTATCCTCAGACAGAAACCGCCTTCGTACTCTGGAAACTGACTGCTCGGCGGTTCCAGGAAGGCTTCCTGCCACACTGGAGTCTTCTGGTCATGACCATAAAGGGGAGCGGTTCTTTGAAGGTGTCACTTTTGTTCAGTATAGGAGGCCAGTGGAGCAGCTCAGGCGAAAAACAAGCTAATCCCTCTTTAGAAACATTTTATCACCCACTGGTGTTCACTGGTGGAATAACACAACACGAAGTGGACTGGAGTTGGACCAACAACTGCAGTTACTGGGTTGATTCAATGGACATTAAACTTGATTAAGTAAAACTTTTTGTACTTTTGACTCCTCATCTTTTTTAAATGTCTATATCCATACAAAGTTAAAAGTAAGAAACATATTTTAACCTCTTAAGTTCCTGCTTCAAGTTTTCAAAATGTTGAAATGAATGGCATCTCATTTCTGGTTCCTCTGGCAGCAGAAACTCCGTCTGCTTCCAGATTCACGTTTCAGCTTCGGTTCAATGGACCCGACATCAGAGAAACCACCAAGAAGGTTCTGATCCAGCTGGTTCAGTCGCTTAGCCCTGTTAGCATGCTACACTAAGGCCTAGCCCTGTTACAGGAACTTTTGCCACCGCCTAATTTTAAAGAATCCTTATTTTGCATAAACCGAGTGGATATATGAAGCTATGAGGACTACTTTCTAGGAATGTGCGATATAAACCTATAAAGTAGAAACTATAGAAATTTGTATGACAATGTAGATCTGCAGTCTGCCGGCTAACTGCGGTAAAGCTTGTTCATGACATAACCAGTTACATCGATTCGCGTTGCCCCACCAGATACTGTTTTTTTCAGCGTCTCCTCGCCGCCCTTTTTGCACCCTTTTTGCACCCTTGTTGAGCGATATTTTCTAACGTGCCTTGTTTGCGCCGCAAGGGAACTATGAACACAGTGAAAGCTCAAACGTGTGTTGGCGGACTTGTTCTACTTTTCTCACTTTTTTGCAACTGCATTCTCATCAGACACATACACACACACTCACCCAACCCCCTAGAGGTCTGCACCACTGTATGAAAGGTGTGTGAATAAGGATTGGCCGAAACCATACAACTTTGGGACATTTACTAAGCTGAAATAAAGCGAACTGCTCCTTTAATAAAGCTGGAGTTTCCAACAAGATACTTTAATAAAGTTGATCAGTCAGAAATTAAATGTTTCATTGATGTCACATGACCAAACGGCTGCCACCTGTCATACCTGATGTGTAAACCCATGATTGACTGCTTCTTGGTCAGCTGTTCTCATAAAGATAGCTCATTTATCAGACTTCCTGTTACTCCTCAGAATAAGAGCATATCAGAAGCTGCTTCTACTGCTGAGCTGACAGTTTACCATAGAGCAAGAGGCTTTTATTGTGAAGGAGCAGAAGGAAGAGTGGTTGAGGACTCAAATCTAAATCCTAAACAATTTTAATAATATGAATTCAAACATCAACATGTCGCCTAAACTGTTTAGCAAACTAGAAGTTTTCAGTAAACAAAACAAACGCAAACAAAATTTAGTGTTTTGAAGTGAGTTCCACCAAATTAACCAGTTAGAGCTGAAATAAACCAGTTAAAATGAACCAGTTTAAACTGGTCTAGTTCAGAATGAGGTTTGTTTTGGTCCTGGAGAAAATAAAACAGATGTTTGGGTCAGGGTTCTGGTTCTGGTTCTCTAAGAAACATTATTGAAAGAATAATTTTCCTGATGTTTTTACATTTTATGAAACTGAAAACTGTTCAGTCTAAAGGTGGAGCAGAGTTCACTTTCTGGGTCCAGTCTACCACAACCTCCAGAACTAGGTGTGCACTGATTTATCGGCCAGCCGATTTATTGGTGCAGAGTTCCTTTGTTTTGGGAGATCAGTGATCGGACAACCTGATCTACATCAGAAAAGCTCTAAAAATCAGCCACTGTCCTCTGCTGAGGTTACACTGTTAGCCCCGCCCACCAGATCCTGTCTGCATGTCTGCAGTAACAATAGCCGCCCCGCTGTTATCCAAATAAATAATTAATTTTATTTATCGACATTTCAGATAAAGAAAGTCGGACTCGGCAGCTCAGGCTTTTTAAAGATCGATTATTGGCCATCGATCAGAAAACTGCAATAAGTGCACTCCTATCCAGAACCTCCAGAACCCAGCCCGTGTTTCTCCTGCTGCAGGCAGGAGCCAATCAGATTGAAGCTCAAACGGGTCAAAGTGGCTCTGAGTAAACAGAATGGACCCAGGTTCTGCTGAGTCATCAGGTCCATGTTGGACAGAAACTAGTTAGACTGGGTGGTTTTAGAGTTATGCTAGGTACTTTTAGAATATTAAATAAAAGCAAACAAAAACAAACTGAACAGACTTCTTTTCTCTCTGAAATAAAGTTCAACAAGTGAAAGTCACAGCAGGAACATGTCGGACCGGACCGGACCGGGTCCAGAGGGCTGGGATCAGCAGTTTGGGTTGATGTGATGCTTCAGTCAGAGGATGAAGAAGAGGATGATGACGACCAGTAGAATCAGCAGCAACACTCCAATCGCACACCACTGGCGGCGATCTGAGAAGAAACCAACCAATCACTGATCAGATAGACAGACACGCCCCTAAAACACACAGCTCTGTCCAATCAGAGCTCAAAATCACTGAATTCTACCCAATCAGAGCCCAGACTGAGCTTCTGAATGAATAATGTGTTGCCGGGCAGATTACCGCTGTTCATGTGTGAGACTTTAGCGAGTTTCTTCATGACGTTGTCCAGGCGGGACTGAGTGCTGTCCATCTCATGTCCAAAGTCGTCCAGCATCCTGATGGGCAGACAAGACTTAGCTACTGGACCGGACCAGAACTGGACCAGAATGGGACCCGGAACTAGGGTTATTGTAAATAATTATTTTAGTAATCATGTATTCTATCAATATTCTGATGATTTCTCGAGTAATCGGATAAAAAAAATTATCAAATAAAATATTGGTAAATCTAACATAACAGTGTTACTATCAGATATCAACATCAGGCCAATTTTTCATATTTCAGCTTCCCTAACAATAACTTTTCTTTAGTTTAGAAAACTAACTTGTAACAATAATGGCTCACTTTGTAAGCTAGTTTAGTTTACAAAGTGAGCCATTACTGTTACAAGTTAATTTATAATTAATTTATAGTTAACAATATAATTTCAGATTTACCGTATTTAATAATAAAGAGGCAGGCTCACAGATACGCTTACAAACTATGTCTATGGTGCTAGCATCTTTTTTTTTTTACTCCAGTCTTTAGTTTACGATTCATCTTCATTCAGTTTAATAGTTGAACTCTGACCTTGCCCAGGTCAGAGTTCCTGGGNTTGTCCGTGGCGCAAGGGGAGCACGGCCACGCCAACGCCGTTGTTTTGTCTGTACTTTTGCTTCATGCCTTTTCAGCTGGGTGTCATTTACCCAATTGATCTATTCTTTATTTTGGTCAGGATTCAACCGTTTATGGTGAGTCCCCCTATTTTTCAGTACGTTTATGTACAATTTGTATTTTTTTCTTCTTTTCTTTGTTTGCATGATTTGGTTTATTTAGTTTGTCCAGTGTTTTGCTTATCTTGCTTTTCGTTTATTTGCTTTGCATGTTTTCTTTGGTTGGGTTGCAGTGTTTTGTTGTTTTGTTTTTTTTGTTTAGTTATCAATTGGGTTTGAAAATAACTTGCCGCTGAAGAGCTGATGTGCAGTATGTATTTTGTGAAGTTTGTAAACTGTCTTTAACATATATATTCTATTGTTGTAGGCCTATTTTAAACTTTTGGAAAAAAATAAATTAAATTCTTTTTTTAAAACATTATGATCCACCTCTCTTTGTTGTCCCGACCTGGTGTGGCCTTTATGTAGATATTAGAAGTTGAATAGTCCTGGGGCCAAGATCTCAGGTGGTAATATTTAAAAATTTAATAGTAGACACCGCTATTGCCACACACCTCTCTTTGTTGTCCCGACCTGACGTGGCCTTTTTGTAGATATTAGACGCTGGCCTGGTTTCAAGGTGGGGTTGTTGGTTGCAATATTTAAAAATGTAATAGTCATTCTGCCACGCAGCTTCTGCAGAAAACAGCAGGGGGCGAAGTGGTTCCATGGAGGAAATCATTGCCTGAGATGTTCCTGGTCATTTAGAGAAATGATTGGTGGAACAGAAAGTCAGAGGTTCTGCGGTACGTCATGTGTGACGTCAGACCAGACTGGATCCGGTTGGTTCTGACAGAACTGTTTGTTATCCAGTTTCTGGCCGCCATGCTGCCTGGTTCATTGCTGCTCCTGACTGTTACATTGAAGCTGAGCTTTTTCATCCTAGCCAACACAAACCTGGACAGGTTCTGAGGGTAGCAGCTCATCACTTTTACTCGATTACATTTAGTTTAGTAACTTTTTTGAAAAAGTGTAAATGTTACTACACTTTTTTACTTTAGTATAATTTTTGGGTTCTCTGCCCTCCGCAGGTTTTAAAAAACTGAACATTTTAAAAACACACTAACGTGCTGCTCCACACGCAGCCTGCCGGGGGCGCTGTGCTGGCCGGCTGAGCAGGTGTGAGGTGTGAAGGAGGAGGAGGAGGCGCAGCTGGAATGCTGCAGCTGGAATGCCGCAGCTGGAATGCCGCAGCAGGTCGACACACGCCTTGCTGCAGATCAGGAACCAGCAGCAGGTTCCTGACAGACACCATGAGAGGATACCGCGGCGTCAAGTACACCTTGTTCTTCTTCTGCTATTGTTTCTGGGTGAGTCCGGGCCGGTCCGGTCCGACCCTCCATCTGGGCCGCACGCCTCACCCTGCAGGGGGCTGATGGTCCAGACGTCAGCTGGAAGGAGGAAGTAGTTTTGTTTTCCTGTATGTCGGTGAGGTGACAGGAAGTCAGGATGGAGGGAGACGTGCAGTAAAGGTCACCGGGTCGGGACCGGAACCGTGACGGCCGGACAGAGGACTGAAAGTTCTGGGTCACAAACTGATGGATTAATGGGAGAGCAGCTGCTGGAGGTTTGATTTGTTCTGGTCCAGTAAAACAGAACCTCTGGAACCTTCAGAACCTTCAGAACCAGGTTGAAGGTTTTCCCACTGACCGCTGTGGCTTTGGGCGGGGCAGCGGTTCTGCTTCCTGTCCGGTCCTGTTTGGTAGTTAAAGCTGAACTTTGACGTGTTAGGTTTTCATCTGCCAACCAGAACCAGTCGGTCCAGTCCAGAATCCAGTTAGTGACCAGAACCTCTCTGTGTGACTCTGCAGGTCGTCAGCGCCGTCCTGATCGCAGTCGGGATCTACGCCAAGGTCGCCAAGGAGAAAGGTCAGTAGAGGTCGTTCCAGCAGCAGCTGGTTTCCTGGTTCCGTTCAGAACACGACCCAGTTAGAACCGGGCTCAGACTTCTGGGTTTCAGGAAGGGATGCAGCAGCAGCGCAGAGTTAAGCCCGTTACAGGGTTCGTGTCCTGTTTCCATAGCAACAGTTTCTGGTTTGAAAAGCGTCTCTGAAACATCCGGGTCCGTTTCCAGGAAATTCTGCTGATCCCATTCCTGAAGACGAAACCAGGAAACGATCCAGATCCAGACAAGTTTCAACTTTTCCTCCTGATGGTGAAACAGTCGGCCAATTACCTGCTGAGGTTTCCGTCTCCATGGGAACCATCAGAAATGAATGGAAGTCAAACACTTATTGTGTGTGTGTGTGTGTGCGCAGATGTAGTCGACACTCTGACCGTGGACCCAGCGCTGCTGCTGATTGTCGTCGGATTGTTGATGTTCCTCATCACCTTCCTGGGATGCTTCGGAGCGCTGCGTAACGCCACCTGCCTGCTGAAGATGGTATTTAATCATCTTGATTGTAATTATTTATCGTTTTATCCAGAGCGACTGGGAGTCAGCAGAGGAAACCTTCAGAATCCAGCTGAAGGATTGTGTGTCGATGACAGAACAGGTCTGAGTCTGACTGAAGGTCCTGACGTCTCTATTCTGAAGGAATTTTATCCAGAATTATTCTGGAGACAGAAATGAAAACCTTGGGCTGACCTGAATGTCTGAGAATCACCAAAATCATTCTTCCTTCTACAAATGGAAAACCGTGGTGGGCACAGCTAGCTAAAATGCTAGCTGCACTAATCCAAAGCTTTAGTCATAAATATTAGTTTCACTAATGCAAAATGCAACACATTATTTAGAGGAAGCTAATGTTAAAAGACTATACTGATCCAGCTTCAGGCTAAAGCTAATGCTAAAGCAATATACCTGAATGGTATTTATAGGAAGCTAATGCTAAAGCTCCAACTTCAGTTCAAATTATATCTGACTCACACTCTTAAGCACCAATTTAATATTTGACATTATAATTTACATATTCTATACGCCCCTTAAATATGGCTAAAAATGTCTGCCTGAACAATTCAGTTGATAACCAAAACTTCAACACAGATGTTGAAAACAGATCAAATGAAAGTTTTAAAAACATCCGCTTTATAACTTAAATGAAAAAATGTATTTACTTTGTTAGACACAGTTAGCAAAAGGACTAACATTTCAAGCTTTGCTAATGGAGCATTAGCAGAACTGCAAACTAGGAGTTAGTGAGAGCAGCATGAGAGCGTCACCTAGCGGAACGTTGCTGGTAGTTTGTTTCCTGTTGTTTTCTGGTTTGTTTCTTGTTGGTTTCCTATTTCTTTCCTGTTGTTTCCTGTTGATGTATCTTCCTCTCTGCTTCCTCCTGCAGTTCCTGTCCATCCTGGCTGTGGTTCTAGTCCTGCAGGTTGCTGCTGGAGCCGTGACTTACGTTTTAACCGACTTGGTAACAGAACACCATGAGCTGAATGCAGAACGTCAGAGATCCGGTGTGAACTCTGATGCTGTTCAGGTGATGGAGAGGACGGAGATGCTGATGATGAAGGCCGTCGTCCGCTACAGGGAGGATCGGGACCTAGAGAACGCCATCGACTTTGTCCAGAAGAAGGTGAGCTGGATGACCAAAGCAGCTGTAAGTGCGGCGTGGGTTTAATGGAGAGCTGCTGTGTTCCAGTTCCAGTGCTGCGGCGTGGAAAACTACAAGGACTGGTCCCGTAACGTCTACTTCGAGTGTTCTGAGAGCAACCCCAGCCTGGAAGTCTGCGGCGTTCCCTTCTCCTGCTGCGTCCACCTGCAGAACCAGGTCAGACCGGCTGGACCCAGTCTTGCGTGAAATTCTGCCCCCCTGTGTCGGGATCGCGCACTGCAGCCAGAGAGGATCCGACCATTTCCACGGCGCTTCTGATCGATTTATCGGTAAAACAACTCATATAATCATGTCAAGATTGTAACTTTCAGTTTAATCAGCAACTAACAAAATGGTAAAATAAATAAATAAACGAGATCTTCTTACACCGTTTTGTGTTGTTTTTTAATCGCCAAGAGAATCGGTCTGTTTCCAACTTTTGTCACTTAAGCCTGACAATTAAAACCAAACACAGGTTTCCAACACGTTGTGTGTATTTATGATCTTTCATTGCTGATATAAGAGGATGGAAGCTGCTAGTGTAGGCTTTGTGGAAAATCCCGTTATAATGTAAAATATGACAGATTGTCGGTGGCTCAGTCATACTATCACACATTACAGTTATTGAGAATTTGAAATTTCCTGACCTGCTCCGTGTTCAACGCTCTTTGGAGGGGAACAGGGAGCTAAAATAATTGGTTTCCCCCTCAGAACTTTGGCAAATAGAGAGCAATGAAAGATCATAAATACACACAACGTGTTGGAAACCTGTGTTTGGTTTTAATTGTCAGGCTTAAGTGACAAAAGTTGGAAACAGACCGATTCTCTTGGCGATTAAAAAACAACACAAAACGGTGTAAGAAGATCTCGTTTATTTATTTATTTTACCATTTTGTTAGTTGCTGATTAAACTGAAAGTTACAATCTTGACATGATTATATGAGTTGTTTTACCGATAAATCGATCAGAAGCGCCGTGGAAATGGTCGGATCCTCTCTGGCTGCAGTGCGCGATCCCGACACAGGGGGGCAGAATTTCACAGAACAGGTGTTCTGTCCTCAGCAAAGGTTGTACACAACCTCAAGTTGGGTCACCCTAAGATCACTGGGTCTTCTTAAAAGATAGAGTATCTGAGAACAGTTCTTAAAGATATAGTCTGTGTTTTCAGCAAAGTTGAGCTGACTGTCCAGGAACGACTCGAGGTATTTAAAATTTGCCACAGTTTCAACAGGTTGGCCATCGAGTGAAACTGGAATCACTTTCAGGTCTTGTTTATGTCATTTAGTTAGCTCTACTTCCTTAAGAAAATGGAAAGGTATGTTCATTTGTGAGGGAATTTATCTTTTACTCTTCCAGTAATGCCAGAATTAATAATAAGTAATAAAGACTTTGTGGTATTCTGATTTAGTAATGTAATTAGATTAGTTGTGTTACCACCCCCACGCCACTAGAGGCAGCGATGGATCCCGAAAAGATGTGACTAAGGAGCAGATTTAGAAGTACACCGAAAACTACAGAATTTGCTAAAAACTGTGAGCTGCGCTTACGTAAATAAAAGATTGAAGTTCAGATACATTCTGAGAGTGGAAATCCTTCCTAAAGCTTAAGATATATCACAGATTCAAAAAGAAAATAAAAACGGGAGACCGCAGATAATACAGGAAATAGCGCCCCCTTCACTTCCGGAGTGCAATGGTCCCATTTCCAAATAAGGTCTGAGACCGACAGCGGTCCGTCCCGCCCCTTCCTGTTTGCTGCAGCGAGGTGAACTTGTTCTGTCTGTCATACCGTAAATCCAGCAAACCTTATGCGCACATCGATGTTATGTCACATACTGCTTACTCAGCAGATTTCTTATCAATCCGTCATACCTGTATGTTTTGTTTACGGTAAATTTTATTTAATTAAGCTGCTATGTTAATCAAACATTAACATAAATGACTTTTGCTGTTTCTAATATCGTTACCAAACTGTAAACAAGACATTCGTCCCGTTTAGCGTCACTATTACTACAAATACTGTTGGACTACAAATTTGGTCGGGATATTTTGTCCATATAGCTAATCTACCTTTTTAATATTTCAATATTTCTTTAGAAAACTGCAGGAATATGTCCTAAAAAAGCTCATGAACAGCTGGATGCTGACCGAAGCAACAAGCAGAACATCACCTCTTTCTGGACGCTGCGTGGAGATAACTGGATTTTTCTTATTTTAATTTTTTTATTTACCGTAAACTTCTGAGAACTAAAACACAAAATGAAACTTCTACAGGTATGATGGATTTACGAGGTCTGGTTCCACCAGAGACGGCGGGCGGGTTCTGGTTGTGGCTCAGAGTCCAAACCTGGATGGAAAACCAAAATAAACGGCAACATGTAGGAAGTAAAACACCATGGAAGCGTATTGTGTCACGGAGGGGAAAACATTTCGAGCATTATTACGTTATAACGTGATAAATTGTACAAAGATGATAATTATCTTGTTTAAATGTGATAACTTCATGTCCAGGAGGTGGCGGTAGTGAGCACTTCGTGCAGACATACGGAAGGCTCACAGCAGTTGGTCTGGTTTTCCTCCATGCTCGGTCTAAACATGGAGATACTGATGCTGCTCCGCACTGAAGGCCCAGGCAGCACATTTATGTTGTTCTGTTAAAAACCGGGGATGTAACCGATGAGCTGATGCCGTTCAGCCGCCAAATCGCCGAGTACATTACTTGACTCAGTATGGAACAAAGCTAAACAAACTTCTAGCAGGAGCTGCGCCCCCTGCTGGACGTTGTGAATCATCTGAGCTGTTGATGACCCGCCATGATTTCCTGCTGAAACAGCAGTGGATTCAGACACAGCATCTTTGTGCTGCATCTGCTCCTGTCCCTGCAGACGGTGCTGAACACCATGTGTGGTTACGGCATGCAGCAGCAGCAGGAAGCGGCGGCCCGGCAGCACATCTTCACGCCCGGCTGCCTGCAGCGGATCGTCCTGTGGGCCCAGAAGAACCTGCTGCTGGTGGCCGGGCTGACGGCCGGTCTGCTGCTGCTGGAGGTACTGACACCACCGCCGAGCGACCTCCAACCTCCGGCTGACCTCCCACTGACCTGCTCTCTCCTGCAGGTGTGCATGATGGGTCTGGCCGCAGCGCAGGCGGCCTGGATCCACCGGGTCCGACGGAGGCAGAAGGTCAGCGAAGGTCGCAGGGCAGAGGAGAGGAAGGAGAGGCTCTGGTTTCCCGCCTTCGCTGACTTTACTGAGGAATGATGAAGACGACGATGATGATGAGCTTCGTCTCTGCAGAACCAAACAGAACCAGGAGGTTTCTGAGGTTCCTTCTCATCTCAGAGCTTCAGGACTTTAAAGTGTGACCTTTGACCTGTTGGGGTTCTGGTCTCCTTCAGGCTGCTTCCTCTCTAATCCCGCCTGTTCTGCTGTAATCTGAGGCAGATTAGCAGCAGGATCATCTGCGGCGGCAGCATGTTGCTGCGGGAGGCGGCGTGCGGCCGTCACGCTCACCTTATTGGATTTATGACCTCAGGGTCAACCAGCGTGTGTGTGTGTGTGTGTGTGTGTGCACAGGATGCATGATGGGAAACCTCGTGTCTCATTGATCCTGTATTTTATACGAGCCCATCGCCATGGAAACGGTTTATGCATGAATACTTGAGGCCTTCTGCTGGAGTTTATCAGAGAAACAAACCAAAAAATAACACATGGTTCAAATCTGAAAAGTGTGGCATGTCCCCATAAATACTCAGGTCTGTTCTGGTTCTGAAAATATATTAAATTGTTACATTTGTGTAATAAAATGTTTTGGTCTGATGTAGAAAATCATGAAATGAACAGAAAAAAACTTTTTATTTCAGGTTTTATTTGGCTGATCAGAGAAATGAGGAGAAAATATGGAGAAGTTGAAACCTGAGCCGTCTGAACGTCATAAACATTCTGACACGGTTCATCGTGTCTTTAACACCAAAACGTCCTAGACAAAACCCGCCTCCAGGTGTATTTCTGTCTGAGCGAGCGCGAGTGAAACGAGATTCATACATAAATATTAACTTTAAGGTCAGGAATAAGAAAACAGAAACCTTTAAATAGAAACTGAAGTTTAGAGCTGAAATAATTAAACTGTTAAGGCTTTAAACAATATTTCATCCAATAAAAACCAGCACAGATATAAAAACATAGATGTGACTGGCTGACTGCTGAGAGTTGGCAGAGGAACGTAGAGGTCAGAGGTCACGTTAAGGCGGGTCAGAGTCCGGTTTGTTCTGGCGTTGGAAACGAATCGCTCTTCAAACGCGATGAGATTAAAATCTCTGAGCTGAATCATCTGAGAACCGAAGAACCGCCTCTGGTTCTGATCCGAGTCCCGATGAACAGAATCGGAACCTCTGAGCCGGAAACACGTCGGTTAGATTCCCAGGATCCTCAACCAGAGGAGCAGTTAAAGCACGGTGGCTTCACGCGGCCGAGGAAGAGGAGCGCCGCGACGAAGAGCACTTGGACTTATTCATTACCTTTGACCCCTGACCGGGGCCAGCACCACCAGCCAATCAGATCGCTCCGTTCTGCTGCCACACGCATCCGGATCAGAACTCCGGATCCAGTCTCCTTGCATGTCAAAGGTCAAGGTTTGAATCCCAAACCGGGATCCCTGCAGGTTCTGGATCCCTGCAGGTTCTGGATCCGGTCGGTTCTGGAGAACCAGGCTGTGTGGGAATCCTCCCGGCTTCGGAGTCGATCGTTTTTTTCAGCCACAAAAACAAAGACGATCCGTCTGCATGAAAGGATTCTGTCAGGTTCTGACCCGGTTCCAGTGGTGAGACAACCTGCCCCCAACCAGCAGGATGAGGTGGATCATTTTGGTCTGAGCGACCTTTGACCCCCATCTGGAGCTCACTTCCAGAAGGACCGGCTGGTCGAAGAGCGGAACGGAGAGTCCGGCTCCGGTTCTTCTCCGGTCCCAGACCAGGTGGTCTGAGGAGCCTGACCCGGTTCTGGTCCATCACACCTGGCAGATGTTGTAGTAGACGGTGTGCGCCTGGTGGGGGCCCGGCGGGTCGCCCGGCGGGAGCCGGTGGGAGTGGATCTCCGTCATGGGAACGCTGATGCTGTAGGAGTTGCTGTGGCGGTTCTGGGTTCCATACGACGGAACCGCCTGCAGGGAAACAGAACCGGTTAGAACTCAGAACGACATTCCTGCTGATTCCTCTGTTTTCCATAAATTCAGCTGAGAAAACTAAACCTGTTGCCCCCGACGATACGTGAAGGAATGTCTGACTGGGAATTTTTATGACTAAAACTTTGTTGAACCTCGAAACAAACTGAACAAAGCTGGTGATCCGGATCCATGTCAGAAAAACCCGACCCGGATGACCCGGATGGACCCGACCCGGATGACCCGGATGGACCCGACCCGGTCAGTAAAAGTTCTGGCCCCTGCTTTATGTCTCCTGGCTGATGCTAATAAATCCATCGGCTGTTTTTTACCTTTCCTGTTTCGCTCAGAGGAAAATCTTTTCGGCACAGGTGTGCGATGATGCCTGCGGCCAGGGCGTCGCCAAGGACGTTGATCATGGTGCGAAACCTGTCGCTGTGGGGCCAGAAGGGGGCGCCATCAGACTCCAAACACAAGGAACCGTCTCTGCTTACACAAGGACAGTTACCGATATTCAGTACTTACAGGATCCAATCAATGGCCACAATCAGAGTGATGTCATCAGGCGGCAGGCCCACAGAGGTGAGGACGATCACCATGGTAACCAGTCCGGCCTGAGGGATGCCGGCGGCTCCGATGCTGGCGGCTGTGGCCGTGATGCTGGAAGATGAGGGAGACGGTCAGAGTCCAGTTGCTCTTTTTGGAGGAACAAATGAGAGAATCGTCTGCATACGGGCGAATCCCCTCGTCTGCACGGAGACGCCCAAACTGTTTCTGCTCAGGCCAGGTGACACTCCTCACCTGATGGTGACCAGCTGGCCGAGGTCCAGCTCATAATCGTTGACTTGAGCGATAAAGATGGCCGCCACAGCCTCGTACAGTGCCGTGCCGTCCATGTTTATGGTGGCTCCAACAGGCAGGACGAAGCGGGCGATCTGCCGGTCGACGTGGCAGTTCTCCAGCAGGCACTTCATGGTGATGGGCAGCGTGGCAGAGCTGAGGAACATGGAGGTTTCACTCCTTTTCTATCAGAGCTCAGGATGATGCAGGAGGCTGCAGCGGCACTGACCTGGAGGAGGTGGCCAGCGCGATGACCATGGCCTGCAGAAGTCCCCGGATGTAGCTGAACGGGTTCTTCCTGGTGAGGAGGAAGTAGAAGAGAGGGAGGAGGACGAGGCCGTGGACGAAGAGGCCGGTGAGGACGGTGATGCCGTACCAGCCCAGCTTCTTCCCCAGCGTGCTCGGGTCCTGCATGTCCAGGATCTTCCCCGCAACCAAGAAGATGATCCCAAACGGGAAGTACCTGAGGAGACAGCAACGTCCTGAAGGCGGAGCCAAAAAAGGGCGGAGTCCTGCAGAGGGACGGGTCTATGACATCACAGGTTGCATCTTTCCAGATCAACTCAACCTCAAGACTGAGAATCGTTTTGTTGGAGCTGAAATTCTTGGGAATTTTTCAGATTCAGACAAAGAAAAGGGAACAAATTGTGTTGACAACAGATCCAAAGATCCAGACGCAGGTTCAGCTCCTGAGTTTAGTTCTGGTTACATCTAGACGGAATCCAAGGAGAAGCTCAGAAAGCCTGGACCTGCTGATCCGACCGCTTTGACTCACCACACAGCAGCGTTGATGATCTTCATCACGCACTCGTTGATGCACTGACAGACGTTGACCAGCGGAGCGCCACGCTCTCCCATCCTGCCCAGCAGCAGCCCTGCACAGCAGCCAAGCAGCATTTACTCTCTGAGCAACAGGAAGTTCCTCTCCAACATGAATCCTGCTGATTTCCAGGATGATTCCCTGGGAATCCTGGAAATGTTTGGTCATTTCTGCTGCTTCTGATCTGGACATGATGAACGACTTGCCTCTGCAGGTCAGAGAGGCCCCTGCACTGTCCACTGCTATAGCTCGTCTTAAAACCATTTATTTTACTTGGCTTTCAACTCCAGCAGGATCCAGTTTTAAATTATGTTTGTTTTTAAACTGTAAGAGTTTTTATTTTTTATTTATTTTTTTTTTATTGTTGTGTTTTGATGTAAGGCACTTTGTATCAGCTGTGGTTGTTTTAAAGTGCTTTATAAATAAAGTTGACCTATGAAGGTCAATCATCAGAGCAGCTTCAAAACTTCTACATTTCTCAGAAAACAGATGAAAAGTTGGAAAACTGTTTCCATCTGAGGGAGGAAACTTCACATAGCAGATTATATTCTGAATCCAGCTGGTAATCTGATTACTGAGAGTTACAGATTTTATACACCAAGCAGGTTTATTGAAAACAAAAAACTTCATATCTAATAAAGTGAGTGACCAGCCTAGGCATGCTAGTTGCTAACCTCTCCAGTGTATATACCAGCCTATGCAAGGCTAACGCTAGCTTATTAAATGCTAACGCTAGCTAGCACTCTCCTCCTCGTTTGCCAGAGTTGGTTGCCAAGTTACCAGTGGTGATCTATGATTAATCAGATCAGTAGGTTCAGAATGTAGACCAGGGGAGGGCAGCTTCAGGCCTGGAGGACCTGGAGGACCTGGAGNAAAACATATTTACAGAAGGCAGGTAAAATTTCCTCGAGGAATTTTAATAATCGAGGAACTCGAATTATTCAAGGAATCGTTATAGCGCTAACCAGAACCAGAACCCAACCAGACTGAGTGCCGTCCATCTCATGTCCAAAGTTGTCCACTAGACTGGTACCAGAACCGGCACCGGAATAGACCCAACTGAACCAGTTGGTAGTTCCACAGAGAGAATTTGGTTCTTACCCGGCCTGCTCGTCCAGCTCCAGGCCGATCCGCTCCGACATGTTCTTCAGAACCCCAATGGTTCCGGAAACTCGCTCCAGCTGCTCGTCCTGCTGCTCCGCGATCAGCTGCAACACAAAGCGGCGGGTCAGTTCGGGTCAGAATTGGAACAGGCGGCTGTGGTTCTGGAAGTGGCGACCAGAACCACAGCAGCAGGTTCTGGTACCTGCTGCTGTGTCTGCTGCTCGCCAATGAACTCAGCGTTGGCGTTCTGCGGCCGGCGGTCCGGCGGGCCGAACCGATCGGAACCAGGCTGCCAGATGGGATCCCGGGCGTCTCCCAGCAGAACCTGCAGAACCGAACAGAACCAGAACCCATTCAGATTGCGATCAACAAGAGACTTGACCAATCAGAGAGCTCAAACTGAGTCACAGCAGCTGATTGGCTGTTGAGGGCCTGTACCTGTTTGCCGTATCTCTCAGCAGTACCAGAACCAGCTGCTGGACCCGACATCTGTTCTTTCATGTCCTGTTAAACAGAGAACCAGCTGAATATCGGGTTGGACCAGCTCCGAGGACCCACTAGGGGAAGGTCAGGGGAAGGTCAAACCTACCTGGACGGTGAGGCGAGTGCTGGAGATGAAGGCCTTCCTCTTCGTCAGTTCGGCGGCATCCAGGTGGAACTTCCTGGGGTTGGACTCCACGATGCCTTCAGGGATGTCAAGGAGAACGGAGACTTGGGATGGGGGACTCAGAGACAGAGTGGAGGACAGACTGTGGGACAAGGATACTGATGGTCTCGTCCAGGTCCTCCAAGTCCCACTCGATGGACCGCAGGCCATTCCGCAGCTCATTGGTCGTCCAATCCGCTTCCTCCCTGGAGGCTCCGCCCACTTCCTGCTGTAGCTCCACCCAGCGGCGATGGAGGCTCTGGGCAGCGTGGACCGCCTTCTCCACCTCCCTGCACACAGAACCAAAACCGAGTCAGAGCCAAAACCATAACCGGGTTTAATTTCCCTTTGGGATCAGTAATGTATTCGTGAACTGGAACAATACGGTCCAACTGGACCTCTGGCGGGTCGGTGGTACCTGCAGGTAGGGTTACCTGCTCAGGTGTGTCTCGGAGGGTCAGTTAGAGCAGATTACCAGGCTAACCAGCTGCGGGCTCAGGTCACGTACTCATCACGTGACTCTGTTGCGTGTTGAACGTCAGGTCCAGTTTCAGATATTTTATTTTTCGTCTGTTTCAGATATTTTATTTTTCGTCTGAACCTGAACGCCGCTATGACACCTCGCTGCATTTCTGTAATTTCTATTCAGTCTCATCACACGATCAGGTTTAGCAACTGATGCTCCTCAACCAGTTGAACTGGTTAAACTGGTCACACTGGTGCCGGCCTGGGTGCTAGTCTGACCAGTTTAACCGGTAACCAGGGGTTCGGGCTCGGTTCTGGTTCGGTTTGATGCTAGCTGCTGTGGCTGCGGAGGTTCTGACCCTTTAACGACGAAGAACGGGTCTTCCATGGACATGGTGCCGGTTCTGGTTCACTCCATCCCTTAGACGTTCCGGTCCGGATCCACCGATTCGGCTTGGTTCTGATTATTGCCCAGTTCTCGTCACCGGGGTAGCAGCAGCTAACTGCGCTTTGTTTACATGTAGCAACGGAAACCACGCAGTGACGTCACTTCCTAGTGAGCAGATCAAGTAGAGCCGCCTCCTGCTGGTGGACTAGAGATGGCAGTGAAGGACAGAAAAACCTGAACAAGTGAACAAGTTGATTTTAAGTTAAACACGTTTCATTCATTTCCGTTTCAGTAGCAGAGCTGTAAGGGGACGGCCCAGAATCACCTTCAGGAACACTCTGGTTCTGATCCAGACCCTCTGGTTCCGCTGGAGATGCAGATACCTAAAAATTATTTAACCATGAACAGACAACATCTTAGATCTTTGAGAAAACATAAATAGAAAATGTGATGTAGGTTGATGGACCTACAAGCTGAGGCCCTAGTCCTCATGGTGGTGGTCACAGGTTCGATTCCTGGCCTGGCAACATTTGCTGCATGTCTTCCCCTTCTCTCATTGCCGTATTTCCTATCGAACTACTTTCAAATAAAGGCCACTAGACCCAACAAAACAAAAAAAGGACCTACAAGCCGTTCAATTCAGTTCAGTTAATTTATTCAGCACCAATTCACAAGTGATGTCGTCTCGAGGCACTGTACGACAAAATCATTTAAATTCAATCACACATCCATTCTGACTGGACCCTGGTTATCAAACAATTCACTAAGCTAAGTTAATTATTCAAATTTGTTTAGAAAATTTCTATTTGCAGATTGCATCAAGACTTAATTTTTCCCTCAGATTAATAAGCTTTGATTTAAATAATTACAGCTAAATTGAATGTTTGAAATGTGACGTTTAGTTTTAAAAAATAAAACATATCACTTTAGCTCATTAACAACTGCTATATGTTAATGTCAAATTCTTTAATACAGCAAATTTATAAACAGCTACTGACCACAGTAACGCCAGGAAAAGATGAGTTTTAGGGAACTTTTAGATATTTTAAAACTGTAGTTTTCCTGCCTGTACAGCAGAGGGCAACACCTTCTGCCAGCTCCCATATACACGCAGAGGAAGCTGTATTCTCGCGAGACTCAGTTTCTTTGTGTTGAGAGGAGCGTGTCAAGCTGCAGATTTTAAACTTCGTGTCTAAACTAAGCGAACCATCGGTCGAATCTGAACCGAACCTGTTTACTGCTGGGCCTTATTCTGCTTCCCCTGTGCCTCCTGTCCAGGTGAGCTCTATCAGTGAAGCTGTTAGCTCCCGCCGTTAGCTTGTTAGCATTCTATTAGCTCCGCGTGCTCAGTTTGAGTCCTCTCACCTGCTAACGTCAGAACCGTTTCGGTCCGTTTTAGCACGGTTCGGTAATTGTTAACCTTGTACAGCAGGGGTTTACGGTCTTTTTATCCGAAACTGGTTCTGTTTAGACATGGATGACGTCATAATCCGTCAAATGGCGGCTGGCTTCGAACCTAGTTAGAATCAGAGATGAGTAGCTTTGTTCCCGAGCGGGGGAAGGGTTGGGGTTCCAGGTGGATCCGGATCAGTTGTGAGGAACCTAATGATTGCAGGTGGAGGTCAGAGGTCAGATTAAGTGGTGGGGATTATCAGGTAGAACATCAGGGGCGGGAACCTCCACTGGTCCAGAGGCAGCCATGTTGGTGGAGTCATGTGATCAAAGTGTTCTGAAACTGACCAATTAGCTTCCTTTTTCAGACACAGTAAGACCAGTTGACCTGTTTCCATGGCAGTGAGACGAGGACACATCAGGTACCTGAAGGTGAGCCCACCACTGATGACACCTGCCAGACGTTTCCATGGCAACCAGGATGCAGCAGGTTCCCTAAACCTGCTGCTTTCAGGATGTTGGGGAACATCCAGAGTTTGATCCACCATCAACTGGTTCTGTTGGCACCCTGCAGAGAAATGGACCGGTACTGGTTCTTATCAGCTGACTCGTACCAATCTGGACCGGTTCCATCAAAGTCGATTAAGCTGATCTCATTATTATTTGGACTGTTTTATAATCGTACTTACTGATTGGCTGGTTCTTCCACATAAAGGCCACTTAGAGTCTCAGTATTCCAGCTGATTTAAATCTCAGAACCAAAACAGACCCAGTTCATATCCAGAACCAGTTCAGTCTCATAACTTCTAGCTGGATCCTGGTTCTGACACCAGGCTTTACCAAATTTCGCATTATGACCTTTGACCCTACTTGTGTGTGTTAAGGTGTGTGAGGTCCAACCGACTCAAGGTGAAGTCAGAGACACTCAGATTTCCTCAAAAGGAGCAGCTGTGAAGGTAAGCACCGCTTTCTGATTGGCTCCCTCTAGCTGCTCTCTGATTGGCCCGTTATGTGTTCACCTGATGCGTTTCCCCACCTGTGTCTCAGGAGCTGTACGACAACGGCTTCACCGAGACAATGATGGAGGAGGATGACGACTCGCGGACCAACCTGATCGTCAACTACCTGCCGCAGAGCATGAGCCAGGACGAGCTGCGCAGCCTATTCAGCAGCGTGGGCGAGGTCGAGTCGGCGAAGCTGA